CATTACCACGAAAGTGGATGGATGCACTACCGTAAAGGTAGAGGTGGATACCACAAAGGTAATTGCTTATTTTTTTTTATGATTTTTTAGACTCTCTGCCCCGGGTATAGGTGCATTACCACGAAAGTGGATGGATGCATTACCACGAAGGTTGATGCACTACCACAAAGGTGGATACACTACCACGGAGGTGATTTCTTTTTGTTTCTGTTTTAGATATACTACCCGGAAAGAAATAATGAGATAAAATCAAAAGCAAAACAACGACTCCAGTTTTACTTTAAAAAAGAAGTAAAAATTCAGAGAAGAAACTCTGAAGAAAGAAAAGCTAAAGAAACAACTCGCAAAACATCGCTCAGCACTGAGTGTAAATAGTGCTAGCAAGAAAGTAGTGTGAATAGTATTACAAAGGTATTTACCTAGACGCCTTACAAGCGAGGAAAGAATAACGGGACAAAATTAACAGCAAAATAACCACTCCAGTTTTACTTTGAAAAGTAAAAAAAAAGTCAAAGAAAAGAAACAACTCGCGAATAACACGAACAAGAAAGAAGTGTGGGAAGAAAAATTAATAATTACTGTAAACATGTAGATCGTTAACATTAATAAATAATAACATAACTAACCAATCAGAATTAAACGTAAACTTATCCAAGCCACGCTTACATCAAAAAAGGACGGTGCACGTGATAATGAACCAATCCAACCAATAAGAATGCGCAAAAATTCTGCACAACCAATAGGAATGTAGCAAATTTTTGATCAACCCGACAAAACAAATCCGGACTGCGTTCAAGCCTGTATTGACAAGGAAGGAGGAAATACTCAATATTAATATTTTATGTGGGCATGTTGCCCTACTTAATCACATTTCGGAAATAATTTTTTAGGGTTAGGGTTAGAGCTAAGGTTAAAATTACATATAAAATTGTCTTCACGACATTTTTTGATAGTGCACCAAGCTAAATTTAGACATCTGAAACAATCTACTTTTGAACTAAAGAAAAAAAAAACTATTATGTTATTGGCACGAAGGTGAACGTTCTGTGTTAAAACTAAGTAAACTCACAGGCCTACCTATCTCAACTGTCCGATACAATGTCAAAAAATTAGAATCAACAGGAACAATTCAGCACAAAGGTGGTAATGGACGTCCTAAAAAAATTACGGCGTGTATATCAAGAAAGGTGGGTCAATATATTCGTAAAACCTCTTCTATGTCCCTACGAAAAATTTCTACTAAACTGAGTACCGAGGAAGTAGACATTTCATATCGTACAATTGGTAGACATTTAAAATCGCTTGGATATACAAAAAATCGACCAACTGCTACACCGATGTTAACAGAAATTCAAAAAAAGAACCGGGTGCAATGGGCCAAACTTCATCTTAATGATGACTGGAAAAAAACTTTATTTTCTGATGAAACGGCATTCCAACTATTTCCAAATACAATTAATCATTGGTATAAGGGGTAAACGACCAGTCCGTCCAATGCCAAAAAACCGTACAAAAATTTTTGCGTGGGGTGGTTTTTGTGCGAAGGGAAAAACTCGTCTATTTTGCTTTCGGGGTATTATGAATGCTGACTTTTATGTCGAATTTTGCAGCAACATGTTGGGGAAATTAAAGAAATGCTTGGGAGAAAATGGCGTTTCCAACAAGATAACGATCCCAAGCATACAAGCGGTAAAGCTAGGACGTTTCCTGCGGAAAATGTACCCGAAGTTCTTGATTGGCCGTCGTCAAGTCCGGACCTAAATCCTATCGAAAATCTATGGGCAATTGTTAAACGTGAAGTAGAAAAACGAATGCCGCAAAATCTAAACGAATTGGAACAGTTTGTAATGGAGGAATGGAATTCTTTGCCAGATATCACTTTAAAAAATTTAATAAATTCAATGTCACGCCGTTGTCAGTTAATTATTGCGAATAAAGTGAGAGAATCGCGTATTAAATTCATGATAATAAAATGGTTAGCTTTTGAGCTTTCGAACAATATATTGATCATGTGATTTAGTGTGATCTGCGTGAAATTGTGATACTAAATCAAGTTTTTTTGTCACTGGCTGTATATACGTATAAATCTAAAATACTATTTTAATTTTTATAGTTAATTAATATTAATTTAAATCAAATCATGTGAAATACTAATGCTGGTTCGAAATTGATCTCATGATTAAGTTTTTTATTTTAACACTATAATTTATTTGCTCCGTGACATTAAAGCGCCAGAACTTCATCGATAATATTCTCTCAACGCTCGTTCGGCGTATTCCATGAAATCATACTTGATGTCAGAATTTTCAGAGGATATCTAGAAAAGAAAAAAATTGTTGACACTATAATAAATAAGTAAATTGCGTTATTTTATTTACACCTACCAATGTCCATACACTACAGTAGAAAAAGGAAGCAAGTGCGAATTTCGCTATTTCTCGATACAACTCTTCTACTTCTGCATCGGTAACTTTGGTCTCTATTTAATCCAAAAATTTAACTCGATTTATTCCGACTAACTTGATATATTTATGGTATAGTAGATTAGATCCATTTACCAGGATAAAACGATAATAAGTAATGACGGAGCCAAACAAGTTGGAATTCTTTAGTCGGGTATAAGCTATAATCACATTGCCATCCTACAAATTACTCGTTCAATTAATTATTTTCATATTCAAAATTTTCATTTGTTAGACTAATACGTATTTACCGGCGAAAGTATTAAAATGATTTCCAATAAATCCACGATAATTATATCTGCCATACTCGAAGTCGATAAACGCTACGGAGTTTTCGTGTCCTTTATAGATTATATTGGGATATAGCAAGTCGTTATGACAAAATACCACCGGATAATTGTTTTTTACGAGTTGTTCTTCGAGGAAGCACACCTTAAAGAAAAGAAAATTTGAAGTCAGAGAACAGAACAATTAAAGCAATTTAGTGAATGTCTATTTACCTCTTCCTTAAATTCAGATTGCTAGCGAATTTCTCGTTAGTTTTAGGGTTCGTGTACTTGGCAAAAATTATAATTAGTAATTCGAGAAGATATTAATTCGGATATTAGACCATTCTATTGCTCACCTTGACTCAACCACACTCGAATACTGTCAAACAAAATTGGTTTCTTCGGCCCATCAATATTGACTCTATGGAGTTTAGCCAAATGCTTAGCGACTAATGCGGATTTATTCGGGTCATTAAGATCATGCCGAGCGAATGTTTCACCTGGAATGTATCCATACACCGTTCCATTATTGAATTTGCGTAGAGTGGAGCAGCGAATCCAAGTATCAATAAGGCGGCAATATTCTATATTATAAATGGATTTGATTATATATAAACCAAGGAAGAAAAATCAATTTACCAAGATTTCTTTCTCCCGATCAATAAAAATTTCGGAATTATTTCCACATGCGAACCAATGCCTCAAAGCCAGTTTTTTTATTAGTAACCTTCACAACTAAATTATCATTTAAAATAAAAATTTCTAGGATTAAATAATATTTGGCAAATTTATTGACGTTCACATTTTTGAACATACGTTTATTCGTTAACCCACTCGTAATCTCAAAAAACTCTAATTATTGTTCACTCCAATCCGAAAAAATGTTCAATAAAATGTGAGTTGCGCCTTTAAATAAATTTGTGCGATCAATAGAGTAATCGAGGGTTTTTATTGTTTGAGCGATATGATTTTGGAGTGCCAAATGTTACGTTAATTTCGGTGGATGTCATTTTTCATTTAACGTATCGTTATATGTTCATTTCACGTGCATTTTCTCCATTGGACGTACGCTGTTTACGTATTTGTGACCAAAAATACTCTTGACAGTTACGAAAACGAAAAACTTTAAATAAATTTTTAGAAATTAACGTTAGTATGAGCAATCAAGTATACGTATGTAAAAGTCGCGATTGTCACAGCGCAGTAATTAGAAAATTTCTACTCTTCTATAACAAATTAATATTCAATTTTTTATTTATTAGAATAAAGGAATTGGTTACGCAATAGTGCGTAATCTCACATTATCCTATGCTTCTTCGCCATCAAAACAACCTTTCATTATCTATTTTTCCGCTCGTAACGAGTCGCTTGGTAAACACCACTGGAGCAAATAAAACAAGAGTTCGTTGAACATAAATTACTGCAAAGCGATGGTGGAAATATTAATATCAAATTTTTGAAGATTGATTTGATGAGTAAAGAAAGCATTAATGAAGCGGCTGAGTTATGGATCGTGAGCACGGAGGTATTTTTTTTAATTAATTGTGCGTTTAAAATTATTTTATAATCATGTTTTAATTAAAGGCATATGCATTATATGTTTGTTAACTTAAGTTTACTTTTAGTCTATATTGTTTTGTTGATTAAATAGGACGCGGTCGACAATGGTACTTGGGAACAAGAAGGCTGGTCCACGCAAGGTTCAGAAGCTTTTAATTTATTAAATTCATTGATTTGGTTAATTCGATAATACTTTCATACTAACATTTTTAATATATAATATTTAGAATACGGCGTCTCGAAAACTGGAGTAACGACATTAAGCCATATCCTCGCGAGACGCTTCAAAGCTGAAGTGAAAAATATTTTAGTCAATACTTGCTGTCCTGGGTGGGTGAATTTAGCTTTCCATTTACCCAATTCCTATTCAATTTAATTCAGTCATTTATTCATTATTCATTCATAGGTGAAAACTGACATGGCTGGTCCGCGAGCACCTTTGACACCTGGTATGCAATCAAACTTGGAAATTGTTATTTTCTGGTTTTAAGAGAAACTACGTACATACTCATTATTTTGTTTCACAATTTCTAATTTTGAAATATATAGATCAAGGCGTCAAAACTCTGATATTTCTTGCCTTGGACGAAGAAACTGTGTCAAATGGAGAATTATGGAAATTGAAATAAATAATTAAAAATTAGTCTTTTTATGTGATCTTTTGCATCATACATGTATTACTTTCATTAAATTCTTATTCTCATAAATTTGCTTTCTAATGGAATATATCATCCGAGTTTCTTGCTTTAATTTTCGTTATTGTCATAATTTCTTCAATACGATGCTAATTGCATGCCCAAGAATTTAAAATTGAGTCAATAAATGGAAATTAAACGATGCAAATTATAGTTGAAGCCATTTTATCGTTTACTTAATTGTATATTTGTATAGTATGTTTATATAGTATACAATAGCTCATAAATTTGTAAAGATAAAAAAAACGAATTATAATTCACCAATATATTCATCCTTCCCCAACCCGAAAACGTCGTTTGGAGTCAACTAGAACAATTCTTTCTTCACTCTAAAATGAGATAAGTGAAAGCAATCATATGCTACAATTTGAACGCACCATTTTTTTAATATGCTTACGTATCGTTATCGTCCAAATTCGTATTGTGCATTAACCAACATAAGGTCGTGGAAAAAAATTAACGGTAAAATAAAAAATTATGATAATGTCGAACTTCTGATTGGTTCGCTACCGCAAGTTAGAACTGCTGTTGCAACAATAAAAGCCTTCTTTTTTATGCGTTCTGTCTCATTTTTCATACATGTTACATCTACTCTTCATCGTTTAATGGGTATATATTATAAACACAAACGACGACGACTTCCACACATCGATATAAATCATCATTTTTAAATAAAACACTGTCATAATCGTTAACTCTAAATCGATATAAATGACGACTTGCTACATACAATAATGAAAGTTATAAAAGCCCTCTTCATGGACATACGTAGTATTTGCATAAATTGATACAAACATAAACACACGTTGATATAAATCATCGTTTTTTAAATAAAACACTGAATTTATTTTATTAGCGTTAGCGTTGGGGTCTATGTGTATCAAATTTATGTTCGAATTGTCTCTTATCAAAAATGATTAGACCAAATTTTCGTGCAATATATATATGAATAACCTATACGAAATACATACGTAACTTTACTAATTTCCTCCCCAAGTTCTGATTGGACACAAGTAATTTTTATCGCTGATTGGTTGATTGCACACCGGGTCTTCTAAATCAACTATCAAATCAAAAAGGCGAATAATGTAAAAAATACAGAAAAAGTGATAACGATAACAACAGTAGAGGAAAATTATGTCGACTTAATTACCAAAGAAGACGAGACAGACGTGACAATAACTATAATATCTTACTCTACCACTGACAAATTCGTATCACCAGTCACACAAGCGTTAACAACGTCCGAAATAGTACACCTTATTTTCTCGTATCTATCGATTGAATCACTCCTCATCAACAGAGATGTTTGTCAACAATGGCATGCCATTGTGAATATTCCAACAGAATTTGCACAAAAATTGAAAAAAGAAAATCAACTAGAACGAG